TAATGTATGCATACCGCACTTGCTAATGAAGCCCGGGATATTCAAATCCCGGGCTTCATTAGCAAGTGCGGTATGCATACATTACCCCGCTAGTTCGAACTAGCGGGGTAGTGTAGACATGCATAAGCGGGGAGCCGCCATTTTTAAATCCCCGCTGCTTCGAACCCCGTGCAGCGCGGCTACACAGGGCTCAAACTAGGTAGTTCGGACTAGGGTCCTATTCCGAACTACCGTTACTCCTCGTGAAATCACCAGCAGTGATGTCTTCTAACAAAGACTAGACGCTTTTTTGGTGTGTGCTTGGATCAGAACTTAGTTACTGTCAGGGGCAGATGACTGTTTTGCAGGGCCCCGGGCAGCGTAACTCCGTGGGGCCCCCCCCCTTTGCCACGGCGCATGCGCGGGGCTTTTTTAAGCGCGGGGCCCGGGGCGGCCGCCCCGTTCGCCCTGCCCTATATCTGCCCCTGGTTACTGTGATAGATAAGAGGGCTGGGATGTGCCAGGGTCAGATTCTATGCTCTAATTGTGCCTTCTGGCCTTAAAGTCTACTAATTAATGAAAAACTGAGTGCAGCACAGGGAGCAGCCTTTGGGCTTTACTGTGCAAGCCAGCTTGATCCCCAGACTCAGCTGTCATTAAGTGGGATGATCTAGTGGAAGCCACTCAAACATCCAGAGCAGCACAACTGGGGGTGGCTGTGGCAATGACATCACAAAGATCTGCTGCAGGACCTCAGCCTATTGGTGGACACTGGTGGAGAGGTGGTGATGCCATAGAGAGACCCTCACATCAGCCAGGTAGGATAGAGGGGCAAGGCATGGGCAACCTCAGACACTCCTGTGGCTTTGCAACAGCAAGGTTCCTTCTCAAGGTCTCTCCCTGGGGACTGAGAGAGAATTAGGATTCATGTACATGAGCATGAGGAGGAACCTCATCAGAATTTTCTCCTTCTCTACTACTGATTTTGTAGTCCCCATTTAAGAAGGTAAGAGCCTCAGAGAGGTTTGGAATCTGTTCCGTCTGATCAACCTGTTTGTTACTAGCTGAATTCTAGGCACAGAATTCACTAGATTAAGGTGATTTGATTTCCTACCAAGGACTTTGTCCCATAGAGTCATTCGGGACATTGGGGGTTTGTCCTTTTAGGTTTACCTTTTCCTCCTTCTCTCCCTCTTTCTCTTCTTCTCTTGCTTCTTCCCCACCTCCACCAAGGAGAGGGGTGTGTGTGTGTATGTCAAGAGTGTTTGCTGTCTCTGTTGGAGGCCCGCAAAAAGAGAGTTGGAAGAGTGCTTGGAGACATATCCCCTCCGGTGGTGACCTGGGCCATCCTTTTGCCTCCCAGCTTTTAGAGTCCCAATGCTGATTGGCCAAGCAGGGGACTATTGACAGGGAAAACTTAAGTCCTTTTTCTTCTAAAACCAAACAAATATGTCACACGCAATCACAATTTGATTGTGTGGCTTCCCTGCAATTATTCTCTCTGTGCAGTTTCTAACTCTCTCTAATGTTCCAGTTCTTCTCAAATACTTTCTGAATAAAGACTCTGAGCAATTCTTGGGGTACGTCTAGACTACATGCCTCTGCCGACAGAGGCATGTAGATTAGACTACCCGGCATAGGAAAATGAAGCGGCAATTTAAATAATCGCCGCTTCATTTAAATTTACATGGCTGCCGCGCTGAGCCAATCAGCTGTTTGTCGGCTCAGCGCGGTAGTCTGGACGCTCCGCGGTCGACATCAAAGGCATTTGTCGACCTCCCAGGTATGCCTCATCCCAGGGTCAGCGCGCTTCATTTTCCTATGCCAGAGGCATGTAGTCTAGATGTACCCTTGGTCTGTAGAGCCTTTGAGAGCACTGTATTCTTCTGTTCAGTCAATGAGTCCCCAGGGGCTAACTAGGGGCAGGACACCAGCCTTTCTGGGGAGGGGTGGCAGTGACATCACAAAGGCCTGTTGCAGGAGCTCAGCCTATTGGGGAAAAGTGGTGGGGAGGTGGTGACCTCACAAAGAGCCAGGCAGGATAGAGATGTAAGGCAGGGGTAACCTCAGAGACACCCTTCTTATGGCTTTGTGGGAGACTGTCCCAAAGAGGTGGGGCTGGAATTGCTCCAAGATTGATCCCCTCTGGTGGTGACTTGGACTATTCTTTGAGACATCTGCTGAGACTTCTCAGCCTCCCACTTCTCAGAGTCTCGGTGCTGATTGGCTGAGCATGGAATTATTGGCAGGGAGGAGAAGTTTTCTCAATTTCCCAAATGTGACCTATGGCTGTCCCTTCCGTTGCAGGTTCTCCACAAGGTCTTGTCTGACCCTGAGACATGCCATGCTGTGGCAGAGTCCTCAGACAGAACGGCTCCAGTACATCTTGGAGGTGAAAATGGTCAGGAGGGGCTGGGAGCTGTTTTATCTTAGCTCTGGGGGGAACTGGAAACGAGAGACCAGAAATCCATTTTCCTGTCTCTCCTTCTAGCCTGCACCTCCATGGACTGCCTTGGTCATGGCAGTGCTATGTTGGACTGACCCTTCCTCCTTCAGGGACAGAAGAAGGAAATGGAACTTCAAGTTATTGCTCTGGTTGGCTTTGGCAGTGAGAACCTCAAATCCCTCACCCCCTGCCCACACACCGTGCCTAACCTCCCATGCTCCCAGCAGGAGGTGGTGCTCACAGAAGAGACAGAGATTCCTTCCTTCCTACAGAACCAGGTGAGCCTGAAGGGAATCAGCTTTTCTCTCCTAACAGCACTGAGATTGAGGGCTGAGGGGGAGGGAATTGTCCTCACAGTCACTCCCTTCCTCTAACCAAGGACTTTTGAGCCAGCGATGAGCAAAGGTTCTGTCTCCATCCTGATGAGCTGTTCATGAATCAAGAGTTCAGAAAGGATGGTACATGTCCAGATACTGAACATTGTCCCAGACTAGAGAGATAAAGACAAACTGTGACAATCCCCTTCTTAAACACCATGATCAATGAATCAGATATTCTATCCTGAGCATAATATTCATTTGCACAGCATGTGCACTAGTCTATTGATCCCGACCTGTCTTCTCTTCCCCCTCCCCCAGTGTGTCAACTCCTGCATCAGGTACAGTGTGTCCCAGGAGAGAGCCAAGGCCATAAGGAGCAGCAGAGCCCCATTCTAATTCACCATCCTCCTCGCTGAATTTGACATAAGTGACCTCTGATCCTGCTTCCTGATGCCAGGTGTAGGTAAGCTGGATCTGATAGGCTGTAGGACCTGCAGTTGTGGACTGGGAGGCTACGTCTACACTGGCCCCTTTTCCGGAAGGGGCATGTAAATTTCACTAGTCGTCGTAGGGAAATCCGCGGGGGATTTAAATATCCCCCGCGGCATTTAAATAAAAATGTCCGCCGCTTTTTTCCGGCTTTTAAAAAAGCCGGAAAAGAGCGTCTAGACTGGCCCCGATCCTCCGGAAAAAGTGCCCTTTTCCGGAGGCTCTTATTCTTACTTTGAAGATTTCCCTACGACGACTAGTGAAATTTACATGCCCCTTCCGGAAAAGGGGCCAGTGTAGACGTAGCCGGAGCGTTCCCCTTGGGAAGGCAGAGTCAGAGGAGGGATAGACTTGAGTCAAATTCATCTTCTCCTGGTTCAGTGGAGGTCCTGGGACTTTAAGGGGACCATTTTCCAACCACTGCTCCAGCCAAGTTCATGCTTGGCCTTGGTGCCTTCTTGTCCTCCTGTAGCAGCTACTGGTACAAGTCCTCAGGGAGCGCCCTGCCCACATCCCTTTGCTCCAGGATCCCATGGGCGTAGGAGGAGCTGAGGGTATGTCGTGAAATGAGGAGTAACAGTAGTTAGAACTAGGAAGCCTAGTTCGAACTACCTAGTTCGTGCCCCGTGTAGCCGCGCTGCACGGGGTTCGAATCAGCGGGCTTTTAAAAATGGCGGCTCCCCGCTTATGCAAATGAAGCCCGGGAAATTCAAATCCCGGGCTTCATTTGCAAGTGCAGTATGCCTACATTACCCTCACATACCCTGAGAGTCTAGCTCTAGTTCTTTTCCCCCATGTCTCCAGCAGAGGGATTTGGTGAGGAAAGATTCTTGTCCCAGGGGAAGTTGGGAGCTGACCGCAGAATGCTGATGGAGCCTCCTCTCCTTTCTTTCCATTCGAATTCACCACAGTTCCCCAAACTAGGGAACTTGGTGGCTTAGTTGTGACTGTCCATCCGTGACCCAGCCACGGACATTGACTGGCTGGCCAACGAGGGTATTTACCAGCTGTACAAACTGCTGCTACAACAGAGGTAAGGAAACTCTAAATGGGACCCAAAAGAAAAGTGACACTGAGGGTACATCTCGACTACATGCCTCTGGCAACAGAGGCATGTAGATTAGACTACCCAGCATAGGAAAATGAAGCGGTGATTTAAATAATCGCCGCTTCATTTAAATTTAAATGGCTGCCGCACTGAGCCGATCAGCTGTGTGTCAGCTCAGCACGGTAGTCTGGACGCTCCACGGTTGACATCAAAGGCATTTGTCTACCTCCCAGGTATGCCTCCTGGGATGAGGTTTACCTGAGAGATCGACAAATTCCTTTGATATTGACCTCAGAGCGTCCAGACAAACAACTGATCGGCTCAGCGCGGCAGCCATTTAAATTTAAATGAAGCGGTGATTATTTATTTGCCTATGCTAGGTATGCTAGGTAGCCGAATCTGTCACCAGAGGCATGTAGTCTAGAGGTACCCTGACAAAAGCCATGCAATGGAACCCCCGAAGAAATGATCCACCTCCCGTCTGAGACTGTCTCACAATGGTTAATGGGAGACCTCTTGAAACTCACAAAATCCTCTGACATTGGCCCCAGTGAGAGGACTGAGTCTGTCTCTCTTCTCCCCCTTCTCCATTTAGGATCAACCTTCCTTCCCAGGTACCAAGGATACTCCACTCGCTGTAGGGAGTCCTGCTATTCTGTGGGGACAGACATATAATCCAATGGGGATGGAAGAATATAGCCACCAAAATAAGATAGAGATCTGACAAGGAGAAGCTGCTAAGGAACAGTTGTCATACGGAAAGGAAGGGAATGGAGGCAGAAGCTCCTCCTACAATGGGGTGGGGGAGTCTGGCATGGGAGGTCACCGAAGAGGAAGACGAGTCCATCCCAGGGTGCCAATTGCCATTACCCTCCCTTAATCCTGGGGACATCCAAGTATCTAACTGTTGGAGGCAAAGGAGAAGTAAGGGAACAGTTAAAATGGTGGTTGTTCTTTCTCACCTGTTAATGTTATTTGGTTCCTTAAACTGTTGGAGAGTTATCTGTTTACCCCCTACCCCTTCCCTGAGTGAGTGCAGAAGAATGTCTGAGGTAAACAGCAGGAGTAAACAACAATACACACGGCCCCCAGCAGGGTGTGCACACGGCCCCAAGAGGCCTAGACTCAGAGGCTGCATGTGGCTGATCCTGGAAGAAGAGAGGGACAGAGAGGGACAGAGACACAGTGGTGGTGGACCATCAAGTGGAGCTTCCCAGAACGCCCTCTGCTCGGATCACCTGGCCAGCGGACCAGCTTAGGAGTCAACTTGGGAAGATCAAAGAATATGAACTGCCTTCTGCTCGCCTTATCATCCTGCCTGGGACTGTAAGTGTGATTGAGTGTATGAATGAGATTCCCCTCCCTTCCCAGTTTTAGTTGAATAAAAAATCCTTTACACTCCCATGTGGTGATCCCCTCTCCTTAGTGTTTAAAGCAGTTGCAATCCACATCCCCTTGCAACAGTTTAGACTGCTCAGGTCTAGTCTCACAGTATGCTGTCCCTATATTAGGGGAAATACGGCCCACTGGCCTAGTCTTAAAGTACGCTGCCCCTGTCTCAGGGGAACATGGCCCACTGGCCTAATCTCACAGTACGCTGCCCCTGTATTAGGGGAAATACGGCCTCCTGGCCTAGTCCTTTGTATACAGGCTCTGAGGCCTAGTCCTTCAGCCGAGCCCCCGCTCACCGGGGTTCAGGGCAGGAGGGGTGGGGGGGCCCGGGCCCTCCCTCTCCACCGGGCCACCACCCAGGGCCCTATCAGCGGTGGGTGGTTCCCACCACTGGCTCAGCGGGGAGTTTGCCCCAAAACGCGCCAAGCCAGCCGGGGCTTTTCCTGCTCCCTGCTCTGGGTTGTCTCCTACCCCTTCCCCATGGCCGATGGAGGCCCCAGCTGTAGACGGGTTTCTGGCTGTGACAACGGCATTGGCAGGCACGGCAACTGGTACTGCAGCAGTGGGGGCAGCGACGGCGGATAGGTGGGCTGTGCGGCATAGTCGGCGTTGCGGTCGCGCTCAGGCCGGGGTCTGTAGCTGCTTAGGCGGCTGTTCCGGCGGTTCTTGCTCCAGCAGCAGAGACTCTGGCATCCGTGGTCAGGTAGGAGCTCCTTCCCCGCCGGAGGTCAGCCCCGACCGAGCTGTCTCCCTGGCCTTTGTACCTGGCCCGCAGTTGAAGCATGCACTGCTGCGGGGGTGGGGCCTTCCCTGTCCAGCAGGCCCATTTGCTCCCCCCTTGGTCAGTGCAGGGCTTAGTTCCAGAAGGAGCTGCAGGACTGGCAAGTATCTGAGCTGTCTGATAGCATCATGTGTCATAATATCCTTGTCATCTTTCATAATAGTCTTGTCATCTTCCTGATTAGAAGTGAGGTTGTACTCTACTTCATTTTGCTTCTGCAATAACTAGTGGCTTGATAATGTGACTAGAAATTCCTTCAGAAGACTGAGCAGCTGTTGTCTTGGTGTCTGAATCAGAGATTCCTTTTTATGTTTGAAGTGTGCAGTTTGTCAAAGATCAGGGTCATGTAGTCAAAAAATAGGCAATAAACTCAGCTTCTTATACTACAGGCAGTCCCCGACTCACGCGGATCCGACTTATGTCGGATCCGCACTTACGAACGGAGCTTTCTCGCCCCGGAAGTCGGGGCGAGAAAGCCCCGTTCGTAAGCTGCTCCGGTGCCC